TGTACAATGCAATGTTGTCCAGCAATGCACAATGTTGTCGACTGCCCTGCTTTGCCCTGTTTAGCTAAGAACAGAAGCCACCTGGTGTAGCCGCTTCACATCAAGTGCTTACCAAAGTCATTAGCCAACCAAGACAACTCAGTGTTCTGAAACACCTGGGCAAGCTTGTGCGTCAAACGAAGGGGGTATGGCTCGGCAACTTTCGTGAGCCAAACGCCGGTTGCCGTCTGGCCCATTAAAGCAACATGCGGTTTGCCACTGTATGCACATAGCCCCCGCTTTGAAGATTTGCAAATGTACTGTTGCAAAATGTCCAATTCAACATTGACCCCAAAAAAACGTGTAGGTTTCTTCCAGCTGGTGCCAAAGGCACAGAAGTGTACGACCACGGAGGAGGTGCCCCTCCGCTTCAACAAACTCTTCACTGCCGGACAAAGCCACAAACGTGATCGCTCAGGGTTCTCCAAGGTGAATGGAATCCGCCAAAACATTGCCAATCTCAAGATGCGACAGCTGAAATACATCAATGTATTACCAACACGCACTTTACCAGCATCAACGTCTCTCAAACCATCAAGGCCAAGGGGTTTGTCATCAGTCCGAAGCCGAGGAGGCCCCCCAGGCCTATCGCGAGCTCGAGAAAAACTGTTGCAGGGCGTGCCAAGGTGACCACCTCTCACAACTCCACTTGTAATCCAATGCACAATGCGCATCTGATTTGTTCGGACCGTGAGGTCATACTGGTCTCCATAGTCAATGTCCCACAACAGAACTGGCCAGCCACAATGCCTTGCAACACTGCGACCTAATCTTCCACATCCGCTGAACACTTCCAAGAACACGCACGGCACAAGCCTCACAATCGCACTCAGCGCTGGCAACGCAACTGCTTTGGTAGCTGTTGTACTGCTAAGAGGCTTGCCCTTCTGGTGCCTGCGCTTAGTGCCCCGAACAGCTGTTGTAGTCTGCCGCCCTTCTCGTAGTTTTTGACTGACTTGAGGGCCTGCCATCTGCCTCGGGCCTGAATGGCCGTCAACTCTCGCAGACTGTGAGCCGCCTCGTGCGAAGCGCCCCCATGTCGCAGCCGATACAGGTGGGGCTGTCCCAAGGGCGTCAACCCTAGACTTCCCCATTGGCCTTGCGTGAAGCTGTTCACATCCTCCGCACTGATTGAAAAGGCCGGTTCGTCGGGGTCCTTCTTGTCGAGCTGTAGGTGCTGCACCATGCTGGGCCCAAGAATTTCTGGTAGTCCAAGTCCAGGCTCAACATCTCGTCCCACTGCAGGGTCTTTGAAGGGACCCCTTCCTCCAGCGGGTGCAACACCACTGCATAATGCTTGAAGGCCTTGGGCTTGCTCTTCACTGGTCTGACAATGTCTCGGCTCCTCAACAAAAAGGCCTCGTTTGGCCTCAGGTAGAGTGAAAAGATCAACATCATTGCCAGGGCAACCTCGACGAGGCCCTTCTTGCATGCCTGGAGTGCCAACAAACAGGTGACCTCGTACGGGATGGGCATCCGAGATCTTGGCGGGCATAACCTCCTCCATCCTTTCATGGACTGCTGTGCCATTGGCAGGGATGCCAAACCTTTCAACCCTGGCACCTGATAAATGGTTGCAGCCGTGATGTAGTTGGCCCGACTGAGATCCTCCCCCTGCAGGTATAGATGCTCCAGATAGTCCGTCAAAAGGCGGTCTAATGTAGGCAACGGTGTCCGGATCGAAACAGCTCTCTGTGTCCACTGAACAAACTCCGCCCAGTGGGCATCGTACCGGCTCCGGGTCACATTGCTCACTGAAGCTCTCCTGAGGGTATTGTGTGGCTGTAGGGCATGTGCTGCTTGGCGCCTTTGCGCCCTCCTGGTTTGTTTCACTGAGGCACTGGCTCCACTCAGTTCGATGTCCCATGTCAACGGCTTTTCTGCTGCGGCCCTTCCACCGGCTTGTTTGGCCCCACCAAGTGCTGGTGGCTGGGGGCTTCTTTTCACCGGTGTTGACTTCCTCTTCTTTTCTCGTTCCCAAGTGACTGGGATCCCCAGCTGCCGGTGGATCATCGGTGAACTCCCTAACCGGCTCACTAGGCACGAACTTGCCCCGACTTGGGCCATCAGCAGCATTCCACTCACTGGGTATCCACCTACATCGAAAGAATGTACCAGACCCCAAACACAGTGCAGCTGTCTGTTGCAAGACTCTTCTCAACTTGAAACTATGGGCTCTACCTTTGTCAAAAGCAACTGCGGCCGTCATCGAATCCGTCAACACAATGTACTTCTTTCCAAAACTGGCGACCGATCTCAATGCGTGCCTGATTGCAAACAAAGTAGCCCTTGCTTCGTAGACCGGCATGGAGTCCGGCCTGAGCCAACGGTGGCGGCCAACGACTGTCCATCGACGGTTCACCGCCGAGAAGTCCGCGGTCTTGAATGTCCTGTCTGCACCACCTGTCTGGTCAATGTATCTGCCTTGTAACAACAACTCATCTTCTGCCCTGACAAAAAACCTCGGATTGCTAGCCTGTTCATCCTTGAAGCGCCAACGCTCGCAGTGTCTTCCTAAAGCTTGGGCCTCCTCCTTTGAACAGCTGCTGGTAACCACCCCCATTCCCCAGTTAGATGCATCAACCGAGTACAAGGTGTTGTCCCAAGGTTTAGCCATGTCAACAAAGATGAGAGGTGCAATGCCGTCCCAAAGCCAGAGTTCTCGCCTGACACTTTTCCATAGCCGCACTCGTTGGCGGTAGTGCCTTCGGATGAAGGTGTAAACTTCTCCAAGGGCTGCAAGGCTCTCTCGCCGACAAAGTGAGACGAAGGTGATATGCCCAACGATACGCTCCAGCTGCTGGCCTGTTGCTGAACCTCTTTTCAACAATTCTCTGATGCCCAGCCGCAATCTCCAAAGCCTCTTCAAGGTTGGGGACAAGACTGCACTGCTAGCAATAGACCAGCCCAGGACCGACATGTCTGACTCGTCGAACTCAATCTCATGCACTGTAAGCCCAACCTGTCGCAATGCTTGCACTGCTTTCCAGAATCGTTGTTCGACCTGTTGCTTGTCAGTGCCAAACACATGCAAGTTGTCAACATATTGTATGTGGAAGAAGTTTCCGGAGGGGGCCCGTTCACCATCTTTAAGACGTTCTGCTTCTGTCAAGCCCGCCCTGGTGCAAATCCTTTCGCTAACCCTCTGACACCACCACATGGCATGTGACCACCCCATAGGTATGACCGCCACCCTAGGATGCAGCCACTGCTCTGCTTTCACTGCCTGTCCTTGCACCTCTGTGATGCCCAGGTCTCCAGCTCGAAGTTTCCTCAAGCCAAAGTAAGGCCTCAGCGCTGCCGGCATTTCCATGGTGTAGAAGGCATTTTGCAAGTCTGCACTAGCGGTGTAAAGCAGCTGATCGGGCTCCAACTCTATTGTGGCCATTGCCTCCCCTGTAGCCAGTTTGATGGGCTTGGGGTCGGCAAAATGACAGTTGCTCCGTCGACAGTCCAAAATCATGCGCAGCTTTCCCCCCTTTTTCTTCACAAAAAATATGCCAACTCTCTCAACCGCAGGCTGCAAGCTCATGTCCACAAGTTTCAATGTAAACAATCTTTTGATGAACTCTGCATACTTGTGGGGATCACGAAATTGAGGGTCCTCATAACACTTCTCCACTCCACTGTCAAGCAGTCTCTGCTCGGCCTCTGTTGTGCTCAATGTTTGAGTGTGTGAGAAATCCTCCACCTCTTGTCGCCCGCCCGGGCCCCAAAGATGCGACAACGGAATCGGATTCGTCTCCGCCGTCGGCAATGAAACCAGGTCAGGGTTGAAGGATCCTAAGGGCGATGAGGCCGGCAAGTCCTCATAGCCCTCGGCGACTCGAAGCTCCTCAAGGGCCTCTGAGCCCGAAGTAGCAGGCGGTTTGCCCACCCTTCGACATGCACTCTTCACAAATTCCAGCACCTGGCTCTGTGCGGCATTGGGGACCATGTATTCTGCTCCCCAACTGTGCTGTAGATGTTTGCCAGCTGCTCCAAACAAAATGTTCAATGAATCAATGGTGTGATTCACCTCCTCCTCAAAATGTTTTCTCTGCCCAATCCTTCTCCGACATTTCCTCGAAAAACGACCAGCAGGGATCTCTGAATTCGGCATAGGTGGCATGGGATAGATGTCTCTCTGGGTTTGCCTCTCATGCACCGGCCCTTCCAGTACCGCCTGATCCCTAGGGCCGTAGGAACCAGGCACCCCTGAGTTCAGGGGTTCTCCGAATCCTTCCCGCCACCCTTCTTCCCCCTCCGAGCGGCCTCCCTCTCCTCGCGTGCCTTTCGAAGGTTCTTCGCCAGGCTTGCCTCCTTCTCCGTCTCGATCTTGACATGGTCCAATAAATCTGGACATATCATCAGGGTGGAGTACTGGCGTGTCACACCTCCAAACGTGGTTTGCTCTTCCAAGCTCAACCGTCCTCCCACAGCCTTGGATTCGGCCTCTCTGGCCTTCTCACTGTACGAGAACTCGATGGTTTGGAGCCGCCTGAATTGCACTTCAATGCTCAACAAATTGTAGGGATCGACCTGATCGATCAAAAGTGCAGTCCTCAGCGACATGCTGGTCTGGAAGTGCTCCTGTATTCCCCAGCTCGAGGCGTCGGCCTTGGTGACCTGCCGCAGGCGTTCGTGGTGGCCCTCAAAGCCAAGGTTCTCGATGGCCAAATAGTTCACGCACCATCGGGCGGTGCGGGGGCCAGCCAACTGCCACCGCATGGGGACCTCATGGCTGCGGGCTGCAACATCCTTCAATGTAACCTCCGGCAGTTCCATGTTGTTCAACTCAATTGGGAGCACTCTGTGATCACATCGGGCTGGACCCTGCAAAAACTTGAAATAGTCAGCACCGTCCACACATTCAATGAAAACAGAATTCCCATCTGCCAACACGTGAACTGCCTTTGCACCCTTTGTCAATGCGACTGCAACACCCCGGGCCTCCTGGCCGAATTTGCACCCGAATGAACTCTCTGCAAACAACCATTTCAATGTACCCGAGGCATAACCAATCTTCTCATCAATGCTATCAACAACGACAGCCGCAGCGACGGCGGCAGGAGCTCCTCCACCAGCCACTGGAGCCGGGGCGACAGCCCCAATCCGACGTCTCTCAACCTCAGCAGCCCGACGGGCCTCATCCCGCAAAGCAGCAAGGTCGTTCGCCCCCCATGCTGGAAGGGGGTATACTTCTCCAGCCACAATTCCAGCAGGTAATATACCCATAGCCGGCCTGAGACGGATGGTGCGGATGTCATCGTTCAGCAGCCCCAATTCCTCCAGATATACGTCCCGATCTGGGGTCACAACAATGTACTGGTCCCCTTCAACGTGTTCTGTGACCCACCTTTCATGCCAGAGGCGTGGGCCACCAACGTTGTACTCAACCAAGGCATACCTATTGGCCAAAGCCATGTCTCCTCAGTCTCAACTCCGCCAATTGGCGAGCTGCCAAGTCTCGCTTGTCCGACGGAGAGCTTGCAACCACTGTCGAATCCCCTGCAAATTCACGCTTTGCCAACCACAATCCAACAAGGAGCAAGACCAACAAAAGAAAAACCAGGCCCAACCCAAGCTTGCCCAAATCTGTCGACCCCCAACTGCCTGCAACCCACACCCCCTGCTGGATCTCCGGAGTCTTGGACCAGTCAAGGGGGATTCCGCTGGGTTCTGGCGTTGGTGCCGGATGATCTTCCGGAAGCACTTGAAATCCTCGACCAAGGTGGGATTCCAATTCCAGGGTCACCGATCGAAGCTCTGCCCTCAGCTGGTGGTTCTCCCACACCTCAAAGCCTAGCAAGGCCAACCCAAGGCAGTGGCCTATCACCAGCACATGAGCCACGGGGATCCGGGACCCACCCATGGGAGTTGTCGCTTGAGAGTGGTAAAGAGGCGGCCATTCGATCAACGACTTCACTATTTCAAACTCGTGGGGCACAAATATGCTAGGAACAAGGGCTGGCTGGAAACCAATTGAAAACTAAGAACTGATGGAAGCAAACCGGCATTGGCGTACTGACTTGCATAAAAGTGGGCCTGGTCTCGTTGTAGCGCGCAGTCTTTGGTCAATCTGTTTCGCAGGACTGCAAACTGTTTACAAGTTTACCGTCGGTCATTATGGTCAGATTCCTTCTTGCTTTGCTCTGGCCTGTCGACGACCAGTCTAAACACACATCCCATCACATCACAACAACAATCATCCCCGACAAACTTCGTTGACAAGTGCCCATTGGTTTGGAGCATTGATGTTCTTGACGTGTCACCCACTGCACACTCATTCAAGTTGCACTGGCACCCAGTACATCTGTAAATGCTTTCTGTTCGGGACTGGGACAGCGCAACAACCACTTATGCTACAATACCAACCGCCAAGCCGAGCCTTTTGCCAAAGCTTACATAACCAATGGTAGCGATGGCCTCCAACCTACTGGCGATGGCCTCCAACCTAGTAGCGATGGCCTCCACCTAAACGCATTGCAGCTATAGCAAGCTGCCGCTGGGTGCCTTGCTTCGAAGCAGCTCTGGTGGCCAGCTGGACACCAGCATCGTCAACTCAGCCTGCATCTCAGCCAATCACGCACTGGCTGCGCTCCGGCAAGGTCATTTAGTGCACATGCATCAGGCCCCAGGTCAGGCTATCCTCATCCGGTGTCTCCTGGTCAAGCATCCACCCCAGTGCCACAACGTCTGCCTGAATCTTGTCGTTGTTTGCTTCCAAAGAGTCCTGCGATAACAAACACCTTCAACACAAGCGATAGCGGTCGATGCCCTGACGGGTGTCATGCACACGCATGCAACTCACTCCACACGACTCACGTTACACTGGAGTAATCTTGGATAAATCCATACCGCTATCCATACTCATCCCCTCAAACTTTGCAAGAAGTACCAGAACCTAGTTTGACAGCTGAAGCCTTTCTCAAAGATTCAGCATGCTTAATAAATGTTGATTTTGCTCATGCTACCACGAACATTGCGTCAAAGAACGGGCTGCAGTGACAAAAAACAACATTTACATGGCTATTAGGTTGGAGGCCATTGCTGTATGCAGAAAAAAGCATCTATGGCCCCATGGTGCTGTTCTTCCAGTGTCCCTCTTCGCTGCAGGATCGTCGGTCTCTTCTAAGGCCGCAAGGAGCAAGGCCTGCACGACACAGAGCTCAACAAGCTATGAGAGATTCTGAGATATGCATGTCTTTTAGATCTGCGAAGTCTGAAAGAAAGAGAAACATTCCAAAAGAAACATTCCCAGAAAAAAGATGTTGAATTTGATTCATACATCTTTCTGCATGTTCAACCCATCAAGCCAACGAGGCATCGCAGAAAGGATCCTTTCGCTCAAAGTCCACCACCAAAGCACTCGGTGACGAACTCGGAATGTCCAAACCTGAAAGAAACATCAAGGTGGAATGGAGTGTGAGGCCTCTAAACCTGAGGCCTCTAGGTAGTAGGGTTAGTAGCTTGTGGGCACAAAATGATACAGGAACGCAAGAGATATCGTTGTGTTTCTTTCGGTTGTTTTAGCCTGCTTCCTCTTTCCCTTGTAACTTGTATCGCTTCTCCTTTAAATGTCCTGTCCTCCGTCCTCCGTTCTTAATGTTCTCAGTCCTTTCAGAAGTGTGCTTGCGGGTAGGTGAAACCACAAGTCCATGTCTTCCCACCAATCGGCCGCCCAAGCATTGCCAGCTGCCTTCAGATGTTAGTAGCTAACATGAGACCTATCACAAGTTCCATGGGCCACCATGGGTTCCCAATCTCAGCTTCCAGCGCAACTTGATAAACTCATCGCCCGGGACAAAGTTGAACCTGCCAGGCTTGTCTGACGTGCACTTGAAGCAAAGTTAGGATATATCGTTAGTTTGGTCACAATCGCTTATCAAGATATGCTGGTGGCTTTAGCTTAATTAAGAATCATTCTGCAGCAAAGGTTGGATCTTGTGTCAAACTTTGACATCCCTTCATCTCCTGCTCACAGTCGTGAATACCAGGCCGTCCCATCTCTCGACAGTAACCTTTGGCGAAAACAGCAATGTTTGCTTCTCTTGATATGCTGAACGCAATGCATCAAAGCGCTTGCTGATTGAATTGTGTCCTTGTGCATTGGAAACATCCAGTGCAGTTGAACATGCATGCAAGAAGTAGTAAGGTTCTAATATGTTCTACAGTTCTACATTACTTCTAACATCTTCTAACTACATGCTCTGCCAGCCTCTACTATAAGTTCAAAGCGTAGGAAGATGTAGGAAGTGGATGCAAGAGACAAACATCCTGTGAGCTCCATACGGGTCAAACGTCAGAAGACTCTGACCACTGATACTCGAATTGGATCAACCCCGAAGCCGTCAGGCCCGTTCCAGGACTCCGCCAGGCCACGTTCTGGCTGCTGTTCTGTGGCCCAGAGCCCTGCAGCAGCACCACACACTGAATGTCCACAGCGCGCGGCTGTTCAAACCTGGTGGCTGCAAACCCTTTCCTAACAGCTACCCGCAGCTACCACCATCTACCCTCAAGGTCGGCAATATACTACTTCATGGGTTCATAGACTCATGTTCCAATTGACTTTCAAGAGGGGTCGGGATTCCGACATGCCCTCCACCAATCGTCAAGGGATCGGGCGAGGCGGGTTCGAACCGCGCAGAGAGGAATGTAGAGGAAAGGGTTTTGAAGGAGGGACAATTGTCCACTTCCAAGACCTTTTGGAGGTTGCAACGCGAAGCATCGAAAGGCATCGAAAGCAAAACACGATCCTATTGCAATATACGAGCACAACATTCGTTCATAGGCAATCATTATCTACCATTACCGACCAACATCCGACCAACTAGACTCGCGAAGCAGCTAGGGCCACACGCGTGTCATCGAAAAATGACAGGCCAAGCCAGGCCTTCAAAGTGCTGGGAAGTGCCGAATGGGGAAACCGAATGGCAAAACGTTCGATGGTTCTTGCTTCTCACTGTTTCACTACATCTCTCTGCATTGGCGTGGCACGCGAAGACGTGGCCTCCCCGCGGCTGCAAGAATTGCATGGTGAGCGCCACCAACTTCGAAGACCTTGGCGTGTGGGGTGGGCCTACTAGCGGTTACTAGCGATTGCCCCCAACTTAAGAGCAATGGCCTCCAACCTACAACGATCGCCTCCAACCTACTAGCGATGGCCTCCAACCTAAGAGCAATGGCCTCCAACCTACTAGCGAATGAATGACTCATGTGTCACTGTGTCACCAATTTCTCACCTTGCTGTTTCCAAAACCGATCGAAAATGTCTTAAAGGGCATCCTGATGCTGAAAACTAGAACATGCTAGTATGGCATTTTGGTTGCTAACAGCGGCAAAAGCGGCAAAAGCGCTACCCTTTCCAGTCACACAACACACTCTGCTGGTGCTAGTGCCACGGGCTTGGGCGAGAAAATGGTCCCGGGGCTCCAAGCTGAGATCAAAGGCCAACGACGGCTCCTGTCCTGGCCATTTCTTTTCTTGTTTCTTTGCTTTATGAACAAGAGGCTACTAGGGGTTCCTGGCATCGCTACCAGGAGCAAGGACGCTATTAAGGCTCCTGGCCTTACTACTAGGAACAAGAAGCTACTAGGAATCCTTTTGAATCCGTTAGACTTTTTGCCCTTTAGGGTCCTTGAGACCTGTTTTCTTCGTTCCCTTCTTTTGTCAGCTGTCAGGTGTATCTCCAAATAAGCCCTGTATCTAGATGACATAAGAATGGGTCATCTGTCATCCAATGACACGCACAAAATAAACAAATTTGTTTGGAAAGCTGCTATCATCCGCTACCAGTAGCAAGAAGCTACTAGGTGGAGGCCATCCCTATTAGGTTGGAGGCCATTGCTACTAATAGCAAGGACACTGCTAGTAGCTACGCTCCCTCTTGGACAAGACACATTGACATCATTTCAAGTGATCCGCGCCCAACTGGTTCTGTATCCAGTGCAGAGTTCAAGTCTGGTTTCTGCCAATCCCTTCGCAAACAACACTTTAAGTTGACGCTTTTGGGGTTGGACGGTTGGACGGTTGCATGTAGATTATCATGTAAAGACTACTATGAAAGTGCTGATTGGATGTCGAATCCAGAAACCAAACTGAACTGCTAAAACGGTGTCTAGTTCCAGACACCGAGAGAAACTCAACGCGAGCCAACCTCGGCCAATTCTGGGTAAATGAACTTTAGCGCGAAAAGAAACACCTTTTGGTGTGCTGAGGAGATTGTTCCGTGCTTCGTGCACACTACACAGGGAAGATCAAAAGGGCTGCGACCGACTGAAGAACATCACGGAATTGCTTGCCGTTTCCAAAAGTTACTAGGAGCAAAGGAAGCTACTAGGAACAAAGGGCATCGCTACTAGGATCATGGACGCTACTAGGGGTTCCTGGCCTTACTATTAGTAAGGACGCTACTAGGTTGCCGTTCATTTGGGTGAGGAGGTACGCTCGTTGGCTGTCAAAAGCTTGGTGAATGGGCAAAAGGAAGCATAACTTGTCGCCTCTGCCGTACGAAGTAACATTTGATCAGACCTTTTGAATCTCAGAAACTTGTGCTGGCTGGTGATGGATTGCACTTCGCTTTGGGGAGACAAAACATAGCATGCAATTCTCTTTCGTGAACATGTAATGCAATTCATTGCTGTAATATCATGTAACATCTACATCAGCTCGCGGCAAGTGTAGAATCGATGAAAACACTTGACATCCTGAGCGCCGCGTCGTCTGTACAGGCTCGATGTGGTCAGGCACAGGTTGCCAAAGCATGTCAAGGCAAGCTTGAACGAAGACGCGAAGGACAGGGGGATTTCCTCGGACAGGGAGCGCCTCGCTCGGAAATTCACCAACTATGCTCCATGGACTGTTTCTGAACGAATCTCAGCTCACAGAGACAGGCCGAAGGCAAAAAAACACAAGTGCCCGTGCCCCCTAGTGACTGGTGGCCAGTTATTACTAGTTGCTCAATGTTCCTTTGAATCTTTGGTTCTGCTCCTTATCAACATGGTGCAAGCAAAGTCGTTCGAAGCCACGTGTCAACCTTAGGTTCACCTGATGAATCATGGGTGACAACAACCGTTTTACCTTCCGAGCCAAATCGCCGAATACTATTGCTTAACAGATTAGCCACCCTCGTGAGGATCCCAAATCGGTCGAGTTGCTCGAGTTGCGCATTCTCAATCGTCGACCATCTCTTCTTCCTCGCTGCTATTGATAGTCCAATACCTAGCAGTCGTCTGTCGTCTATCGTCTGTCACGTGTGACGCTTTCGCTCAAAGAATGCACATTCGCTTAACAAAATGACCCATTTGTGACACTCCGCAGTTCGCTACCGGGAGGGAATCTTAGTGGATGCCGTGCCATGTGAGCCGAACGCCAAAGCAAGGCAACCAACAGCCAGTTCTTGGTTCGCAGCTTGGCTTCCAAGTAGCCAAGCACTTTGGTGTCTCACGTGCGTGGAAAAACAGCAGTTTTCGGACGGTGCACCGGACCTCTGCGGACCCAACGGTGCCTCTGGTTGTGGAAGTCCTCAGCCTCGAATTCGTCATCGCTGTCCGGGATGAGGCCTCAATTCGTCACGCCATGTGCGACGCATCAGTTCGCGCGCTGAAAAGGAGGTTGTTCTTTTTCTCCATGGTGAAAAAGAGAGAAGGGAAGAGGTGTGTGGGTGTGGGTGTGTGTATGTGTGTGTGTGTCCACCCCTGGACAAAGGGTTTCCTTCGACCACTCCAATCAGGCAGGGGGGCAGAGAGGACTTGCAAAGCTCTGCCCAACGAAGCTCTTTGCAAGATCCTAGGAAGCGGAAGCTGATCACTTCCGTGTACCTGCTACCTGAACTTTTGACCACGCTGTCTAATTTGCCTTGTTTGTTTCCATGGTTTTTCATGCTACCACCCCCAAACCTTTTCCCCACCGCAGACTTGCAGCAGACTTGAGGCCGCGCAGAGTGTCCGATCGTTTTCGAGTGCAGCTGCCAACACTGTTCAACAATACAGTTTTTGCGGACTTATGCACCTTTCCGTTCCTTCGCCTTCCTTCCCATCGTGGTAACTGAGTTCACTGAATACAAGTGTCAGAGTGTGTTTCGCTCAGCCGTCCCACTCGGGTGCTGAGTGTGATCCCCGTCACAGGGGCGCCGAACTTGCATGGGAAAGCAACCACCCCAACGCACCACCGCTCACTGGACTCTCACAGGAAGGCACCGACACCCTCACAGAATCAACTGCCACACCGGCCGCCGGGCCAAAAAACGGTTCTTGATCGGATTTCAGCTTTCAGATTTCAGACTTCAGATTTCATTTCATGTCTTCAAAGAGCATACTTGACGGCTAAGTATTCACATGCCTGCGCTGCTAAGTATTCACAGGCCGGATGAATTCATCATGCACAACCCCCCCCCCCCCCCCCCCCCCCCCCCCCCCCCCCCCCCCC